TGGCACAGCTGACTGCCACTCAGGAGCCATTTTTAGCTACTGTTCTGGTTCCTACATGGAAAAGCATCCAGCTCCAAGCAAACTCCTCTTTCTGACTTAGGCCATTCTGTCCCTGCAGCGGCCTCTGTGAGCACTTCCCTGGCCTTCTCTTGTGCTGCCAGAGCTCCACGTGCCTCAGTTGAACAAGCAGCCTCCTTACGTTGCATCACCAGGCACAGACCTGCAGGTTGCTCTGTGCAGGTAGACAGGCCTCTTGCTCGTACGTGTGTGTGTGCACGTGTGCGCACATTTTCTCCACACACGTGAACTGTGTTTTGAATTTCATGGCCTTCTCTGCACCTGTTGAGCCAGTCCTAAGGTCTCTTCTCTAGCCTGCTGGTCAACCACACCAGCACGTTCTGTTCACCAGCGTTCGCATGCCCGGGGCAGGCCACACATTCCACTCCACTAACGCACTGTTACTACTGCAGGTCACGTGCTAACAACAGGCGCTTTCTCTTCTAGCTCACGGGGAGCCTGCATGGCTCCTTCCCCCCTCCATCCTCGCCTGCTCTGGTGACGGGCACCTGTCCTGAGGGACCACCGGAATCCGTGCAGGACTGGCACGTGCTGGCCTGCCTTGATTGTCGTGCACACACGCACACTCCGCATTTGGTCGAAGGCCTCGGCTGGTTCTCTTTCACCATCGATTTCTGCTTCTTCTTCTTCTCTTTTGTTAGGGTTGAACTGTCCTCTCAGGTCCGTGGTGGTCACCATCTTCCTCCCTAGAGTATTCATCAACACATGGCTTGTGTATCCCTCTCTCTGGGTGTGACTGCATGGCTTTGGGGTGTGGTGTGTAAGCTCGTCTCAGGCCGATGACCAGGATCTACCAGGGGTGCTCTGTAGGCCCTGATCTGCCCCGTGAACCCAGCCTCTTTGGCGAGGGTAAGGGTCACTGCTGCCGGCTCCTTGCTGCTCAACACCCTGCAGCCTGCCCCCAGCCCAGCATTTGGCACGGTCAGGTCACGTGGCTCCTCTGCTCAAAGCCCTCCAGGGTCCTCACATCACCCCAGCTCTGTGTCACTGCCTCCTGCACTCTTCCTACGTCGTCCCAGCCCACCTCTCAGGTTCTTCAAGGGTGCCCGTGTCTACCACTCTCTGCCCACTAGGCTCCTTCCCCAGGTCCTCCCACCCTTCCTGTCCCTGCTCAGCTGTCCCTTCTTAGCAAGGTGAGCTTGACCACCCTCTCCCTCCCCGGCCCGCCCAAGCCACCCCTCGCTGCAGCACCTAGTCCCTCAGACCGACCACGAGTCTCCCCCTTCAGTATCTTCACTGCTCCCTGCCTGTCTCCTACTCACTGCAACAGGGCAGAGACTTTTGTCTGCTGTTTTCACTGATGATCACTCATTCATTGGCTGAGCCAATAAATGCGGGAAAGGCAGCCACAGACAGCTATGGCTCTAGGCAGTGGGTTGGCTCCTAAAGGCAAGGCAGCTTGACCTGGACATCAGTCTTTCAAAAGCCTCTTCATTTAAAACCCAATGCTGGGCTCTAACTGCAGCCCCACCGTCCCGGGGGCTTTCTTGGGTGGGCACAGGCACGCCCACGGGGTCACACGGACACGCCCATGGGATCACAAGGACACGCCCACAGGAGCAAGGACACGCCCATGGGAGCTGCGACATGCCTACACCCACGCCAGCGGTTCCACACTTCGGCATCCTATAAAAAGGAGCCCTGGTGGGCAGTGCCTAAGGCATTTAACTGCTAACCAGAAGGATGATGGTTCAAACCCACCAGCCGCTCCACACAAGGAAGGTGGGGCAATCTACTTCCGAAAAGATTTACCGACTGAGTCTCATCATCAACTCGCTGGCAGTGAGGGGCTGTCCTGTCGAAAAGTTCCCCGCTTGATAGGCTGTGTGCGAGCTCGGCAGAGACGGGCAGGCCCTCATCAGGAAGAGTCTAAAGTGAAGGCTGTGCTTGGGCTCTGCGTGGTGACGCCAGCTGCTCCTTATCCTACAGTTCGTGGCAACTCTTACCCCTAAACCCCTGCATCTGTGCTGATCACAGGCTGGTTTGTTCCCCTAATTAAGGTCCTTGGGAAGATAAACACTCAGAACTTTTCTTGTCTACTGACTGATGCCGGAAATCAAACATTTCTAAGCTGTAACGGAGGTGAGATCCACATTACTGCCCTTCACTGGGTTCCAGGAGCACATGACCTGCCCCCACGCACTCCAAGTGGTCCCCACCGCATCTGACGACCCCACTGCCCGTTAGTCTCAGCCTAGCCAGGCCGAGGTAAACCTTTGCGAGGCTTAACTTCCAAGGGACTACAATTAAGTTCAAGGAGCTCCGCTACTGAAGTGCTTAAGGCAAATATATGGCTGCTAACCAATAGCTCGGTGGTTCAAACCCACCAGCGCTCTGCGGGACGAAGACAGGCATTCTGCTCATTTCACAGCCTTGGAAACCCTGTTGTTGTTGTTCTTGTTATATGCCGTGGAGTCAGAGGGACTCAGCAACCCCTCCTTGGGTTTCCGAGGCAGTATCACTACGCAAGTAGATTGCCCCATCTTCCTTCCGAGGAGTGGCTGGTGGGTTTGAACTGCCAGCCTTCTGGTTAGCAGTCAAGTGCCTTAGGCACTATGCTACCAGAGCTAGGGTCGGAATCGAGTTGATGGCAGTGAGTTTGAGTACAATTAAGTTTTTTTTTTCTTTTTTACTTTTATTGTGGTGAAAACATACACAAGACATTCACCAACATAACAACTTCCCCCTTTACAGCTCAGAGACATTGAGGACACTTTTCACATTGTGCCACCATTATTGCTATCCTTTTCCAAAATATTCCACCACCATCAGCATAAACTCAGTGCCCTGCAAACAAAAGCATCCCCTTTCTCTCCCTCCTATCCCAGTAACAATCTTTGGTTTGTACATCTATCTACATATAAACTAATAAAACCCAACTCACTGCTGTGGAATCGGATCCGACTCAGCGACCCCTCCTTGGGTTTCCGAGGCAGTATCTCTATGGAAATAGATTGGCCAACCTTCCTTTGGAGGAGTGGCTTGTGGGTTTGAACCGTCAGCCTTCTGGTTAGCAGTCACATGCCATACATACGCACACACATACGCACACAAACACACACGTGCATGTATATATATATATATATATACATATTTTCAATCTATCTAGGAATTTTCCCTCCCCTCCCTGGTAACCAACATTTCCTTCAACGTGTAAGTCCTTCCTGAGTTTGAGTACAGTTAGGTTTTCAGCGACATTAAAGTTGTTGTCAGTTGCTGCTGAGTCAGTTGTGACCCCCGGTGACCCCAGCTGTGCTCCTGCACAGGGTATGCCAAGCTGTGACCTTTCAGGTGCACAGCCCCAGGTCTGTCTTGCCAAGCCCACGACCCATGGGGCGGCAGTCAGGCAGGCATCCGAACGCACCGCCCTGGGGACCTTCCCTCTGGCCTGTGTCTGGTAGTGGGCTTGTGGAGTCTGAATCCTGGCCACTGTGTGTGGGGGCAGCTCTGTGCCGCAGCTTTTCACGGCGGCGGCCTTTCAGGAGCAGACTGCCAGGCCTAGCTTCTGAGGCGCCACTGGGTAGGTTCGAACAGCCAGCCTTTGGTCAGCAGCTTAACCGTCTGTGCCCGCCAGCGGCCCGATACTAAACGTGCTAGCGTGAAATGAGCAACGGCACTGCTCACTCTAACGGCACGTGTAACAGAGCACTTGGTCTGACTGCTATAGTCTCTGTTCTGAATGTGCAGGAAACAGGTGCAACACAACGAAAGGAGCCCTGGCCACCTACAGAATCTTCCCAAGCAGGTTCTGAAGGCCCCCGTCAACAGCACAAAGGCAGGGAAGGGCCACAAACTCTCAGCAGCGCATCAGGGAACCAAATCCAGGGCAGAGGGCAGAGGAAAGAGCCAGGAAGACAGAAAACTCGAGAGGCCGGGGGCAGGCCAGCGACCGGGGCTGGGCAGCTTTCCTAACTTATAGCAGGGCCTGGAAAGGCTCCCTGCGCATCTGTGGTCCGTCCTGCCCAGGGCGGAGCAGCAGGAACGCCTGCCTCTGGAGCTTTGCGAATGACATCCCTCAGAGAAGCTTCCTCTGAGAGCCGAGAACCGTGGCCTAGCCGCCGCTGTCTTCAGACTCGACTCCGCGTCAACAGAGGCCGCCTTGCTGCAGTGCCCTCAGCCTGCTGGGTTTTCAGGGCACTTCTTCAGGTGGCGACACAGTTCGCCGCCTGGAGCCGCGCCAGCCTCGTGTCACGGCGCCAGCGCCGCGCTCTCCCGTTACGTAATACCTCCTCCCAGACGAGGCAAGCTCAGGACGCGGCCGGCGCAGGGCCACCAGGGCGCTCGGGCTGCGGCTGGCCTCGCCGTCCACGGATCTCGCCGTAAAACTAACTAGACAGGGCCCCTCATGCAGGCATTCCTCAGGACGGAGAGGCAGCGGGGAGCGAGGGATGCCCGAGTCTGGCCCCGGGGTCCTGTAGGACCCCCGCCTCCCACGTCTCTCTCAGTTCACGTCTATTGGGCCCTGGCACGCGGCTAACCAAAACTCAGAAACAAGGGGCTCTGGCGGCGTCAGCAACCCTCAAAAACAAACAAAGCCCAGTGGAACCTCCCGCGACCCGCCGAGCCACCGCCACAGCATTGGTACCTGCCACCGGAGGGCAGGACCCGGGGTTCCTGGCACTTCCTGGTGCCGGGGGCGGCGACCAGAGCAGCGCCAGCCCTTCCACGTCCCCAGCACAGCGTACGGTCCCGCACGTCCTGCCCCTGCCGACTTCACGGGTCACAGCGCGACTTCTCCGCGCCCCGAAAGCCCCACGAGCACCTGAGGACGGCGGCCCCCGGGAAGCTCCAAAGCCTCAGCCCTCCGCCGTCTCTTCACAGCGGACTCCGGGCTCGGAACGCGCCGCCTAACCGCCGCGGGAGGCCGGGGGCCGCCCGGGCCGGGCTGGGGTGAGGGCGCCCCGGGCCAGCCCCACACTCACTGTTGTACTGCACCCCCTTGGCGAAGCGTCTCTGCAGCGCCTGGTTCATGGACTGCAGCCCAGCGGGGATATTCTTGTCCCGGCCCGGAGCCTGCTCCGATCCCACCAGCTTCTTCAGGGCGGAAAACATCTTCCCCGCTCGGACGCCCAAGCCCGGGCGCGGCCGGCGAGCTCAGCGGTGGCGGCGCGGGGTGGCGCGC